ACACACACACACAGCTAATAAAACTGAGTGGTCTGATGACTGACTGTTGTATTTGTTCAAACAGTTATGGGTAGGTTACAATATAAGAATGTTTGTCATAATCATGTCTTGTGATTATTTGAAAGGAAATTTACTTTTAAACAGTGAGTGTATTTAATTTAGTTATGATGTAAATACAATAAAAATTAAACCAAGATTTAGAATAATTATCATTTTGATCCATACATTAGTAATGTCTGACTGGGCCTCGTGCCACTTTATTTTCAACAAATTGGGCCCCGAGGTCAAAAAGGTTAAGAACCCCTGGTTTACATGGCATCACATTTTTCTAACACCTTTGATTTAATCACTAACACAGAACTGTTTTGGATCAACAGCAGCTGTTTTCTCTTCRATTAATTCCATGAGAGCCATTGATGCTGAATTATTTGTTCTAAACCCAATAATATCAATAAATAATGATAAATGATTAGGCTACATATAATGTACACATAAAAATAATAATAGAGAAGAATAAATGTGTTAAAGTTTAAGGTGAGGAATGAGTCCAGCTCCGATCGGAGAATGAAGTTTTTAGAAAAAAAGATTTATTTACAAAATAAAGAGCTGTCAGGGCAGCTAAAAACAAAAACTGAATACTAGGAGGCACGAGGAACACAAGGACAACCAAACWGTAGGACAAGCCATGTAATGATCCTGCGAGGAATGAACAGAAGAAAGAGGTGTATATATACAGACTGATAATGAGGGAAGATGAACAGCAGCTGAGAGACTAATTAGAAAGTAGTGACAGGTGTGTGAATACTGAGGAGGGAAACAGCTGAAGAGAAAAGATGAGTAATGGCACAGGGAAGACACAACAGGGAGACTACAGACAAAACACAATCCCAACAAAATCATTAATATTGAATAATACATGATTAGGCTACTTATAATTATATGCCCATTTAAACCATATCGCTATATACAATAAAAAAAGTTTCTCAGCAGGTGGTTTGGTGGTCTCATTGCAGTGAATCCATCTCTTCCTCATCTTTTTTTGAGAAACCTTCAAAACAAAAAGATATGGTAGTGTTTACACACAAATATTGTACAATGAGGTCAATCTTATTTTCTTCTTTATTCTTCATATGTTCTCCCAGTTTTACTATGTTCTATTTTCACATTTCTTACAAACTTACTTCAACAAAACACTTCTGCTGCTGCATAATGTTGATAATCGACTAAAACTGCTAACAATGGGCCTCATGCAAGAACGTTCGTATTCTTATTCTAAATTTCTCTTACTTTTGTTCGTACAAAGGG